TAAGTTTGGAAGGAAGTTTTAGTATGTTAATTTACTTTATTGCTTTATTTAGATCTTTTGTTGTTTTCTGATTTAATTGTAGAACAAGATTTGACAGTCTAAACATTTAGTCAACTTGCTAAGCACTAGAATTAGATATTAAAGTAAAAACAACTGTATGTTTCAAAAAAAAGTAAAACAATTGTAAATAATTATCCTAGTCGTAGTTAGTTACATATGATAATTTTTGCATAGTCAAATATAGTTAGCATTCTTATCACTTAAAGTGCTTTTTTTTTTGTGCACCCAAGTAGCAAGCCCCAAAAGAAAACAAAGCAAAACTAAAAAGAAAAACAACAAAAATAGAAGCTACTAACTAAACCCCTTTGAGTAAATAGTTCGATCTGAAACCATCCTAGTCCAAGCTACACTAGGCCGCATAAATCCTTCTATAAAACGTCACCAAGATTCGAAGTGACCTCAAAATAAACTTTGGCTCCATTGTAACACCAAAATTAGCAAGTCAATCCGCATCACTTTTAAGTTGTTATGTTGTAACTATATTTAGCTAGGTTTGTTAAAATAAAATCAAACTAACAAATTAATAAGAACAATATGTAAATGAATCACTAATCAATTCAAATTCATCATCATTGGATTGATTATACTAAGAAATCAAGCCTTTTTTTTTCTTCTTTTTTACAAATCAAGCTAGTTATCAAACTAATCAAGTCAAAACTAACAAAATCAAGCAAATAACTTGATCATCAATGAAAACTTAGAACTAATTAAAAAAAATTTAAAAAACAAATGGGAAGCCAAAACAAAGGAAGAGACATTGGGTAGCCACATAATCAAAAAGTAGACCCCACAAAAATCAGAAATCAAACCCACTATCTATCCTCACCAAGATTACATTTACATCACTCACTCAAACATTACTTGGTTCAATTTCAAACACCCACTTCACTAGTTCACTCCTCCTTTCTCCAATGGCATCCTTAGCAACCACCACCACCCTTTCCCTGAACCACCTCACTCGCAACAACCCCACCACCACATTCTCTCTCCACCCCCACAAACGCAGACTCACCCCACCACCCCTCTCCGCTCTCCCACCCCTCCTCTCCACCATCACCGACATCGACTCCAACCCAACAACACTCGCCGTAATCGGTGGCGGATCACTCGCCGCATCAATCGCAGCACTAGCAGCATTGCTCTCGCTAACAGACCCCGAGAAGCGGCGTCAGCAGCAGGCCGAGGTCGTTGGCGGAGCGACAAGGAGGTTGTTAGAGAATACTTTAACGGTACAGGGTTTCAGAGATGGAAGAAGATTTACGGGGAGACTGATGATGTTAATAAGGTTCAATTGGATATTCGGATTGGACATGCTAAAACTGTTGAGAGTGTTGTGATGATGTTGAAGGAGGATGGGTCGCTTAGTGGTGTTTCGGTTTGTGATGCTGGGTGTGGGACTGGGTCTTTGTCTATTCCTTTGGCTAAGGAAGGTGCTCTTGTTTGTGCTAGTGATATTTCTGCTGCTATGGTTCAGGAAGCCAGGCTAAGGTACTACTCATCTTATCGTGTTATTGTCTCAATTTAATTGTCACGTTAATAATTGACACGTTCATACAGTCATATATGTACGTATATAAAATGTTGATATTGTGAAGGTAAGGTATTATAATGGTACTGTCTCAATTTAATTGTCTAGGACTTTAAGTAAGGCACATTTTATTGTTGTAGTAGAATTGTAGATTAGTCTTAGATGATTGTTAGTTACTCTTAGCTATTTCAATATAAATTATTATGTTTTTAGTTTGAATTACAGTAGTAATATAAATGTATATTGTGAGCTAGCTTGGTGAAGATGATGGGGAACTCACGAATTGAGCCTACCATCTGCTCGTGCTTGGGAGTGTGGGATTCCCTTACTTTTCCCTAACGATTACATTAATATCAACATCAACTCAATCAGATGTACGCGGACTTACCCTGTGGCTTGTGGCATTAGAAAGATTGTTTCCAATTGGCTTTAATCCTGATATTCAATAACTCTGTGCTACTTTAACATTATAAGAGATCTTTGCACCAGTCTTAGAAATCAAGATAAAGGCCACTTGTTTACAAATTTGTACTTCTTGCATTCATTTTGAACCAAACCGATGGTACCCTTAAGCACTGCAAATATGTTATATAAACAAGCAATAGTACATCAGTGTGTCATTAGAAAAAATCTGTTTGAAATGCTTTAGCATTAAGTGGCAATGAGTGCTCTCATGTTCGAATTTCGAGCAGCAGAGGTGTTGGTATGGTCTTCGATGTTTATAATTTCATAGACTTTGAGCAGGATCAAACAGAAGTTTCCGTTTCTATAAACTATAGCTCTTTCAGCAAAGAGAAATGCAGTAGATTCATGATTAGACCATTCTAGAAAGAGTAACTTTGTTTTCTTTTATGAACCTAAAAGTTATAATGACATTCACATATTTTATAACTCACAAAGAATGGCATAAATAACTGAACTCAATGCATGAGCGCAGTACAACCTTCTTGGTAAAGTTAGTTCAAGGAGCAGCGTTTGAATTAGAAAAATACAACTGACTTTCATGGTTTAATTTTATTAACCAACTTTCATGGTTTAGTTTTATAAGCTGGTTTATATGGTGGCATCTATGTTACAGTAGACACCCAAGTTGTCAGACTGTATGACAATATGATCCATTTTATAGTTTTAGTAATCGTAAACTCTTAATCAGCACTCTCTTCTGTTAATTAAATTGTAAATTGCTTTCATTTGATATGTTGAACCTGTTCTATACACGCAGGCAAAAGAGGAGCTTCAAATTACCGATACTAGTCCCTCATCAAATATTGTGATGCCAAAAATTCGAGGTGAAGGATTTGGAGAGCTTGGATGGGAAGTATGATACAGTTGTTTGCCTTGACGTTCTTATTCATTACCCCCAAGATAAAGCAGATGCAATGATTGGCCACCTTGCTTCATTGGCTGAGAATCGATTAATACTAAGTTTTGCACCCAAGACATTTTTTTTATTCTCTATTGAAGAGAATAGGAGAGCTATTTCCAGGGCCTTCAAAAGCCACAAGGGCATATTTGCATGCAGAGGCTGATGTAGAAAGGGCGTTGCAGAAGGCTGGGTGGAAGATTAGAAAGAGAGGATTAACTACCACACAATTCTACTTCGCCAAAATTGTCGAGGCAGTACCTGCATAAATAAATTCAGAGGTTAGATCCATGTTTTGATTTGTTCACATTCTCAACCTGTAGATTATTTTTTTGGGTTAGTCTTATTTAAAGTCCTGTGATTTAAGTGTATCTTAATATTCTGTGTTATTATAAAATTTCTGTATTCGTCAAGTATAGGCAACTCTAACTTTAATTAGACAAAGAACAGAAGTTCCAATTTTGTATGGGAGGCTTTTGTTGTCCATGATAATGAAAATAATCAGCTCATTTTTCTTATGACGGCAGATATTTTTTTTACTTCTTGCGTCCAATGTGTTCTGGACAGCATGTGTGATGTACATTTTTTGAAGTAGTCGAACACTCGAACTCTTTGTTCACCTCAAGTATTCGTGTGCTAACATGAATGAGTTAATAGACGCTTGATGCTTTACTTTGGACCAAAAAAAATTGAATTACTATCTATCTCATACATACAGTGTATATTATGTGCTTTGAAGTGATGATATTCAACTGTAATGGCCAATTGTAAATGCTGCTATGACTATCCTCTGGATCTATGTACCATAAACAAAACATTGTACCTTAATAAATAGTGACATATGTGCAGCAAATCAATATACAAAATGTTTCAATGTTAACTTCCAGTTCAGAGAAAAAGATATGCCTGTTATGTTGGGTAAAAGCCGAACAATGATATGTTGAAGGCAGTGTGATTGTCTTTACATGGTAATGGTTACAAAAACGAAGAACTGGTGTCTCCGCAGTTTTAGTTAGGACATCAGTAAGCTTGCTGAGTATATTCGTCAATGCATTGTTGTTTTTCTTCTTCTGTTCAATGTCCAGTTGATACTGTTGACAGATGTTGTTGTGCCTGTTGAGTACAGTTCTGCATTCTATAATTTGTCTTCTGCCTCTATGACCCTATGTATCTGTGCCTTAAGAGGAGTTAGAGCAAGTTTTGTTCTGTGCCTTTGAGCAATTAGAGATGTCTAGGCATGATTCAATTGCAGTGTAGAATGTGAAGAAATCAAATGATTGAACCATAATTGTGACAGAATATAAGGAGGTAAAAGGCATACTCCAAAGATATGATGGCCTCCCTAATGGAATGGCGAAACTCGACTTGGGTGAAACCAAAATTGTAACCTGGAGAAAACTCAACCGTCTCCGAGAGTATTTCATTCTTATGGTGCCAAAATTTGAGGTGAAGAATTTTAAGAGAATTGACTTATATCACCTTATGTTTAACCTGTACTTTTGTTGACCTTGATAATTGGGAAAAAAATAAATCACCCCATTTTTCTTATGATCAACATAATTTCATTGCTTCCTCTTCATCTTGTTTGAGACATCACGTGTGATTTTTTGACTAGCCACCTTGGGTATAAATATGAATTGCAGATCAAAATATGAATTTATGTATTGAATAGCAGAGATTGACACTTGGACACGCACCCCATGTTTGACAGCAGGGGTCTTTTAGCAAAGTATGCAATTATTCCAGTATCTATATCGTTTATTCAATCATTCAATGTATATCCTGTGCTTTGAACTTCTGATATATGCATTTTAAATCGCCATTGCCATATCCAGTGTGTAAAATAAAGAATGATTCCTGGATTTTTGCCCCTTGTTTTTAGTATACCTAAATAAAAGGGACTTGGGTGAAACAAATCAGAAGTACAAAATGTTTAAATGAAAATTTGCAATTCAAAGATAATAAGTAATTGTGTCATGCATGACGAAGGTCTGAAGGTACTATGAGGTGTGGACATCTTTTACATGGTAAAGGTCTCGAATTCTCAGGTCACAGCTTCTCAGCAATCTTAGACAGGACATCAGTAAGCTTGCTAAGTGTAGACATCAATTCATTGTAGTTCTGTTTCCTCTGTTCTCTCTCTAGTTGACAGTTTTTGTTATGACTTTCGAGTTGTGCATTCAACAATCTGTTGTTTTCCTCCAACACCTTTAAGAGTTGTTCTTCCGAGCAGTTTGCTTTACATTCATCTGTAGATAATCGCTGTCTTTTGCCCTTTCCTTGTGAATCCTCGTTAGAGAAGTTTGGCCTTGATTCTTTTTGAAGTATCTGTTAGTGTGAAGAGACATCAGATTATCTAACAATTACAGAATGAAGAATGCCTGAGATAATAGTAAATTTCATTTAGTTTAGCTTGTTTTGTAGAGAATTCAGAGAAATCAATAGACTGATAACCCGATGATGCATATGCATACTAATATTTGGTCTTGGTTTGGATTCCTAAGTCGAAGATTAGGGTAAATTCATAGATATTTATAAAATGCAACAAGTGAACTATTGGGTTTGGTTAAGCTAATGTGTATAGAGTGTTTCATTCTCGTACCTTGATTCGAGCTTTTGTTCTTTTTCTGGAATGCTTGATGATGCTGCTCTTCTGCTCCCAAAGAAATTACAATCAGAAATGTATGTCATAGAAACAAACTGAATTTCAATACAAAAACACTAGATGGCAAAAAAGAAAACAACTCTTTAAGACTGAACTAAAGGTGCAACACAATATTGTCATCCAATACCAAGAGTGTCTTAAGACAATATGACCCATCAATTCAATCAACACTGAACAATAATTTTATATGTTTTCAATCAACAAACTCAGGTGTGGCATTGTAACCATTTTATATGGCGTCTGATATCCCGGTTCTGTTCGATATCAAAGGGCATTTTATATGTTTCAATATCTTTTTACGACGTAAAGAAGGGTTGAAATGCAAGGGCGATAAACTCAAAAAACTTATACGAAGTACAATGTACATACAATGGTCTTATGGCCAATTTTATATTATGTTGCACAAAATCAAGAAATTCAAACGTCAAGAAAAACAATAATTGTATGTTTTTGGTTTTTAAAATACCTGAAATCGGTTCTTGAATGCAGAAATTCTTAACAGGTTCCTCAGTCACATTGTCAGCAGACTTAACATCATCCAACTTCCCTGTTATTGCCAGAGTCTCCTGCACTTTATTCTTGATTTCAGACAAAACCTCTGCACCATCCTGCATTTTCTCATCCTCCTCATCAACCTCGTCATCGTCGCCACCCTCCTCGGAACCAAACTCAGCATCATCAGATACAGCAGCAGCAGCAGGAACCGCCTGTAAAGGCAACGGCGAAACAGCACCAGCAGCACCAGTCTCCCTTCCTTCCAAAACCTTAAACACTTCGACATCGAACGTAACAGGCAGCTTCTTCTCTTTTCTAAGATCATTTCTCATATTCCAAAAAAGAGTCAGCCTTATTTACCATCTTAGACTCCCAATTTTTCACCTTCCTGAAATCTCCTATCAGATTACTCCACCTCTTCTTGCATTGTGCAGGACCCCTCTTCACACCTTGCTGCTTACAGTAACATGATATCATTACCCACTTCGGCTCCGTGTTATCAAACAACAACGACGGCGACGATGATGATGATCCTGCTCCTGCTCCTGCACCTGCACCTGCATTAACTAGTAATGCAGAACTGATCTTTCTGCCTTTGTGAGGGGAGTTTTCAGTGATTTCCTTAGCCTGAATGAGTGTAAGAGTTTCTTGCCTAGTCCATCTTGGGTGTCTTTTGCTCTTTGCATCAGTTACACTGCCATCATCCAAACCCGGGTTTTGGTTTCCGTTTAATTCAGAAACAATTGCCATTGTTTTTTATTTAAAAAAGCAGGGACAAATAATAGTAAAGATTCAATCTTTTTTTTTGTTATTATTGGTTTTTGGGATGTTCTTAAGTTTTGGGGCTGTGCTATACAATTGAAAGGGGTGATTAGGGTAAAGGAAATTGATAATTTTTGGAGATAATATTTGGGGTCTGTAAGTAATCTTACAGTTTAGGTAGGATAGTGATCTTTTTGGGTGTTTTTCCAATTTTAATTAATTGAGAAAATCTTTTCTTTTAAGTCAGTAATAATGGTATTATTTGATAGCTAGGTTAATTGTGTATCTTATAAATAGGGTGATTATTTCCTTGCTTTGGATGATTTACTTACCTAATATATATGGTACATTGTATAAAATAGAAGATCAAGTTTATTGCCATTCTAGGACTTAGGGAAATAGAAATTGATACAAATTCTTAAATGAAACTGATTCACATTAATTTATTGTGAACCACTAAATATTAGAGAAACTGTGGTTGTTTAATTAAATTAAAAAAAAAAAAAAAAAAGTCACTATAATAAAAATAAGGTCATTATGTTGAAATAAAAGTCATTTTGGTATTATATAGTCTATAAGAGGTTAAATTTTTTAATGAAATATTTTATATAATGGTCAATATGAAAATTAAAGGTCACTATGTTAAAAATTAGGGTCATAACGTCGTATTCAAGTTCAGAATAATATTAAAATTATACAAGTTTTAATAAAAGTTACTATGTTAAAAATAAGGGTCACTATGTTTAATATAATGTCAGTTGCGTGTGTATAAATTTCGGGTCCATAATAATATTATTGTGGACCAGGTCCATGCAAGTCTTTTTTTTTTATTGGCATTAAGATACAACTTTAACCGCAAGTGTTTAATATTGCACGAAACTACGGAGTAATAATTTAGCGGGATAATGAACAAAATTACCCTTGGCCTCTTTACATAAACCTATTAAGCAAGTCAGAAGTCGACAATGCATAACATCATCCAAGGCAATGTCCAAAATAAAAAAGAATACCATGTCAACTTTGAGAGTCTTAAAGATGAGAATCAAGAATCTCTAAGGGTTATTGGAAGTGGAAAGATTTTTATCAAGCAAAATGATCAAGTTTTATTTGTATATGAACTAGTTGTGATTTCCTAGATACATTGGGCTTTTGGGTAAGACTATTTGGGAAATTCGGTATTTTTATCCTTTTTCTCTCAGTAATTTTACACTTTCTTCATCTCAATTTACACATTTTTTATTATTCACCATATACCTCTGAATTTTTTTAAAATTTACCATATATCCTTGAATTATTACACAAATTCACCATATACCCCTAATGACAACGAAATGAGTTCATAGATATATAGTGAATAAATAAAAAAACTCAAAGATATATGGTGAAAAAACCGTTAAACAAATATATAAAACTAGTTCAAATCCAACTTGAATAACCCTTAAATTAAACTTGGATAATCCTTATTACCGCTATTAATTTAAAACTTATCAAATTCATTAAAACTTACTAAAACTTGAAAAATAAGATGAATATCATAGATTCATTAGGTCCTTATTTTAGGATAGAAAAATTCAAGTAAATGTTTACAAACTTGGGAAAAAAAAAATGGAACGATCAGTTTGGATAATCCAAGTTTAATCTACAACTAAAACTATTTTTTCCTTGATAAGTTTCTTGAATAAATCTTGTGTACAAGGGTATAAGCATTTGTTTATTTTAAAATTCTCTTTTAGTCAACAACGTACCTTGTCAATAGTGTTAGTAGTCAAATACTAAGCACAAAGTTTCATATGCGGCTGGCCGCACTATATCTCCTATTCTCTTTTCTGTTTTCTTCTTCCTACCTAAACACACCCCTTTCTCGAACTCTCTTCTATGTCTCCTTTCTCCTCTTTCTCTCTCTCTCCTATTTTCATCTTCTCTAGTTAGCCCACTCAAATTAAACAAGTTAAATGTAGCGGCGGTGGTAGGGGGTAAGGAAGCTCCTCGTACTCCGTCGCCGAAAACAAGCTAGAGGTTTTAAGGCCAAATTCATCCATGAAAATTCTAGATCTAGAGTTTTTATGGCTAAATTTGGTCTTTTTAGACATATTTCAAGTGAAATTCGAAGCCAATATTAATTTTGAGGTATTTGTTCGATTTAATTTTTTTTAACAATTTTAATGGTTGTTAGTGGTACGGGAGTTGGTGGTGGTGTGGTGGAGTTTAAGGTTTTGAGGACGGAGGTTGAGAAAGGTCGGTGTTGGTGGTGGTTACAGTGGGTTTGGGTGTGGGTTAATGGTTACTAGGTCGGGGGCTACCAGGGGTTACTAGGTTGGTCAGGGGTTATTAGGTCGGTCAGGGTTACTAGGTAGGGGGTTAATAAGGGTTACTATGTTAGGGGTTACTTGGTCGGTTACTAGGTTACGGGTTATTAGGTCGGTTAGGGGTTACTAGGTCGGTCAAGGGTTACTAGATCGGGGTTACTAGGTCAGTCAGAGGTTACTTGGTCAGGGGTTACTAAGTTAGTCAGGGGTAACTTTGTCTGGGGGGGTTACTAGAGGTGTTACTTAAGTTGGGTTACTGGAGGGGTTACTGATATGGCACCTTGTCGCACCGTGCGGCCAGCCACATCAGAAACGTGCTAAAGAGCTTAAACTCCTATTCAAACCCAAACTACAATTCCTACTCATACTTGAATTGGGAAACCAAACCAATATACTTATACAAAAGGAAAAATTGCCCGAAATAATTTCATCTTTGGGGCGTCTGCTAAAAATAATCCTACCTTTGTGTTATTTTTAAATAATCCGACCTTTATACTTAATCCGCTTAAATGGTCCCAACCGGTCATGTAACTTGTTATAACAAGTCATGTGACACGTGTCGTCCTATGATTAGTAAAAAAAATAAAAAATTAAATTAAAAATAATAATATCTTTTTTGAAAGAAAAAAATAATAATAATAATTTACTAATAATTACCACCAGCAGCCCAACAACCCTCCATGGTCGCCCGAAACCCTGACTGACACCTAACGCCGAAACGCCGCGCCAAACACCTCCCCTGAACTACCGACCCTCCTCCCCTCCACCTGAACCGCCGACCCTCCCTCCCCTCCCCTCACGTCGCGATTCTAGCCCCCTTTTTCCTCCGTCCCAATTTCGCCCGCGAAAGAGGATTGTTCTTCTTCGACGGCGTTGATAAGAGGAGCACGAAGCAACCGAGCTCGTCAATGAGAGAAAAGACGGTGGAGGTGGGTTCGGAGGAGGTGGATATCGCTGGCATTGGAGGTGGTGGAAGAGAGAAAGAGATAGTTAGGGTTCCGCTGGAGCTTGGTTCGGAGGAGATTTAGTACAACAAGAAGGTTGGTTGGGCTGGGGGATGGGTGGCTGGGGCTGGGGGACTAGTGGCTGGGGCTGGAGGACGGGTGGCTGGAGCTAAGGAACCGGTGACTGGGGTTTGGGGCTGCTGGTTTCTTTCCTTTTTTTTTTAAAAAATTTTTTTTTTTTTTAATTTTAAATTTTAGATAAATCACGTGGTGACACGTGTATTTTCAAACTTAAAATAAAAACCTGTTGAAAAAGTTACCAATCACTTGGGATCATTTAAAGCAGATTGATATTAAAGGTCGGATTATTTAAAAATAACCCAAAAGTGGCATTGTTTTGGGCTAACACCTGTATACACCTAAAAATGTCTCCCCAAAACCACACCCGATGATGAACAACCTTTCATGGCTGTTATTGGTTGGGTTGAGTATTTAATCTTTGGAGTGCTTAAATCTATTTTCAATCCCAATACATTTCATAAACCAACTCAATTTCTAGTCCGGCCCATTTCACTAAACATAACTTTTTTTTTTGGGTCCACATCACAAAACCGAGATAAACTGATTTTTTGGCCCTATAATTTTTGATCCAAATAGGTTGGATAGGCCTTGAAATAATATTTCCAATGATATATCATAAGCTCAATTCCAATTTAAAACGAAGAAGATATGAGCAAAATACTAAACTCGGCCCAAAACCGACACCCTTTCACTAAAATGGAAAAAATCTTAAAATCTACAAATGATTTTTATCCGATTCTATTAGGTTGGAAAGTAGAATTTATAAGATTTCTAACGATATATTATATGCCTTTATTCCGAGTTACGGATCAAAAGTTATCTTAATTTTAAAAAATGCGTAAAAAAACTAGAATTACTGGCAACAGTTTAAAAACACCGCGCCACGGTATAAGTTGACGTGGCACAATGCTATATACCAAGACACGGTATTCTTCACCGTGTCACAGTGCTTTTTCCGTGTTTTTCCGCATATCTAGGAAAACTGTGCAGCGCAACACGATCTGCAATACTGTGCCACGGTGAACTGCGTCGCGTCGCGTCGCAGTATCCTGTGTCGTGTCCCCGCATACCGTGACACAGGAATTCCTTTGTGCTTTCCGTGTACAAAACCTCACGCGTTTTCTGAACTTAGCCGTATTTTTGTAAAATTGTCTATCGCGACACACTTCTTTATCCCGTGTCACGGTAGACAGTACTGCGACACGGTGTTCAGTGCCGCATCACGGTACACACACCGTGTCACGGCGCTTAATTAGGGTTTTTTTCCGCTGATTTATCTCTTTTAGGGTTCCTTGGAGTCCCCTTGTTCGTCTCCTCTATAAATACAAACCTCATTTCTGCAGTTTCGGGGCACCAAAAATCATTCTCTCTCTCCTTACACCAAAAATCGTTCTCTTCTCCTCTTTAGCCTAAACACTAGCCTTCTTATTCTTCCATAATACTTCTTCTAAGCACTCCAAGGAGTCCATATTTGACCCGAGGTTCCGTCCATAAACCAAGACGTGAAAGGTATAATTAACTGAGGGTTTGAACCAAATTAACTCTAATATTTATTTAAATTAGTTGTTTCAATTTGATTTATATTTTAATTGAAGTTACTAACAGTTTATTCATGATGTAGCAATTCAAGTAAACGCGAAAAATGAGTAATTAATTA